GAGGTTGGTCCCAGGGACTGAGCCCGTGCTGGAAGAATTGAAATTTTGATCTCCTTGAGTTTGTCTGAAAGCATATTCAGGTGCCTGCAATTAATTAGTTTGAATAAACAAAGTTTTGTGTGACTGTAAAAGTACTTGTAGTTGCGATGTTTCATTTGTTCTTATAAAAAAATTTGAGAAGATAAGTTTATTTGTTTGTTTTTACTATTAAACCTCAGGATCTGATAAAACAATACATATATTACTAGAGTTAATACTATCCTTCCTATATAGATGATGTAAGAAGACTGAACAATGAAGTTTATTTTAAAAAATCTAAATTTTCAAACACAGTTTAGTAAACATTTTTAAGTAACTCCTGAACATATTGGTAACAAGGTAATTCACTTTTTGACAAGATTGGTTGTCCTTATAAAAGTGATGTGTAGAATTCTAAGAAAAATCAAAATATTATGATTAAGGATGGGTATTTTCAAAAATTTTGTATTGCAGTATATTGCACAAACTGTGATGAATGGTGTGATATTTTCAAATGTTCTTAACCCTATAAGAATGTAGTGGGTCAATTTGACCAACCTTGTAACTCCAAACTGTACATTGCATGTGCTAATGCTAAGTGTATGTTAAGGAAGTTTGGAGACCTTTTGGTAAACATTGCAAGTCTATTGTATGTATGTATACATATTATATATAAAACAGTTTTTAAAAAAGTATTTCAAATAAAAATGTGCTCACTATGAAAACCATTTTCCACATCACTATAAGTATGAAGGTAAGGTAGGTGTGATTCTAGAGTTATGATCTCGTCAGAATGATTAAAAATTTAGAAGTAAGTGATTACAGATTCTTTATTTCATAGTGTGAAATATATACCATTGGGGTTCGAACCACAATATAGGAATAAAATTGGATATCTCTAATTGTATGTAGCTACTATAACATACTGCATATATCACCAGTGTCAGTCTTTCAAAATTATGAATAGTATATTACTATCCACATTACATTAAATATATGTTTAATCCTAACATTATACGTCTATTTTTGTAGCAGAAAAATTAATTTAAATACAAAGCACCTTTTTGTATATAAATTTGTTTTATACTGTGGTTTTAGTTAAAATGTTACGGTTGTATTCACTTCTGTAAGCAATATAGAAGACAATACTTGTGTGAGAAGGGTATTTCATACCGATGAAATTATTTTAAATTATTAGCATTACATTTTTATTATGCTACTTGAATCCCAAGGTACCAATATTGTACAAGTTATTTCTATATATATAATATAAATTCTTAGCTGCAGAAAGTACTTAGTGTAATGTCAGTAGTCTTAACTTTTTTTAAGACTTTTGTTTGTTTATTGAAGTATGTTTAAAAGAACTTCATTTTATAATAATTCATTAACTGCCATTATATCATTTTGATACATTGTGAGCTTCTAACATTTGTTCAGCTTCTTAGGGTATTTACTAAAACTGTTTTGCTGAGTTATGAAACCTAATGTGATTGTCTCAGTCTTTCTGCATTGTTAGGCTTCTTTTAGAGGTAAAACTGTTGGCTGTAGTTATTTTAAAATGTATTCTTTCTTATCTCGGTAGGTCTTGGGCATAACCTGTAAACTATTATGAAGTAACTTTTTCTAGACCAGGGGTGTGTCACTCGTATTCCTTTATCTTTTTTATTTCACGTGGTGGAAATAATTGTATGAAACTTCACAAACGTACATAGTATTATCTAGTTTCTGCTTAAACACGTTCATATAACTTGATTTAATATTTCTGCCATTTTTTTTATTGAGAAGTATACAAAATGTTTTGAAAAAAAAAACATTGAAGTTTTTTAATACCCTATTTTGTGAATTGTAGTAACTACTTCCAGCTATAAATTATAAAATATCATGTTGAAAACTGACAAATATTTAATGGTGACCTTCAACCTGACCTGTTGCAATGCAGTAAGGTCAGGTTATATAACAGTATTTTTGCTAACAATATTCTTAGTCAAAATCAATTTATATCTAATAAATAAACTTTCTTTACAATAAATTATAAGTTATTTACGTATGATGTTTGAATGTGATAAAATTAAGAATGTTATTCAATAAATAAGGATTTGAATCACTGGAATATTTTCCCATCACCTTCCATTCTCTATAACTATGCATTGTTCTGTAGTTGTCAAACAAATATAATTTGACAGGAAAACATTTCTAGGAAAGAAAAGAACATCTAAAGAAACGATATAAAAATCTCAAACTTGTTGTTTGTTCCAATATCTTAAATTTATTGGTGCATTCCATTACTCTAGACTGTACAAGCTAGGTCTTTTCACTCTCCCTAAAAACCATGAATTATTTCACATTCTGCTTTATTCATCATACATTGACATCTTTCGTACGTATTGATCTTGTATACTTAGCTATATAGCATACCTGAAGAAACCAGACCAATGTTCTCTTGAAACATAGTATGTTCTTTACATTATGTGTAGAGCTTCTTTGTTAATCTATGTAAACCATTTAGTTACCCAAATAATTCTAGAATGACTTCAACTTGTAGCATGAAACTACATTCCTTCATCCTAAGTAGCTCTAAGTTTGTAACAGTATACATCTATTCATAATTAAATTTTGTTTTATTGCCTTTGAATCGTGTCTAATGTCTAATTACTATTTGTGGCATTACAAGTTGTAAATCACTTGGGGAACATGGAGGTCACGTTAAGCTATTGAATTACATTACCCACAAGCTGCTTGCATGTGTGCCTCGTGAAACATTTTTATTATATTATTATCTACTTTACCTAATCTAACCTAAAGAGATCTCTATTTTAAGATTTAGTTACCTGTATAATAATAAATAAAGAATAAACATGAAAAACAAGAAATAAAGTAC